ATGTGCTTTTTTTTACATAGTGAACGGCAGGCATGCATGATTGATCTCGACATGGTGTATATATGTACTCATGCTTGACAGTCCCAGTCAGTAGATCAATCAATCCATCACATGGAGATGGAGATATGCAGGCTTATTTTGAAGCTCTGGATCTACTGGCCATCACTGAGGCCTTGTTTAGTTCCCCGCTAAAGTTTACTCCCTATCACATCGGATATTTGATACATGCATGGAATATTAAATATAGACTAAAAAATAACTAGTTGCACATATTACGACTAATTTGCGAGATGATTTTTTAAGCCTAATTAGTCCATGATTTGACAATGTGGTGTTACAATAAACATGTGCTAATGATGGATTAATTAGGCTTCATGAATTTATCTCATGGATTACTGAGGACTTCTGTAATTTATTTTATTATTACTATTCGAACACTCCCATATGACACCCTGATGTGACATCTCTAAACTTTACTCACTGGATCTAAACACCACCTGAATGCATGTAGTAGGCAAGTTTGACTGACCTCACTGATGTGATGTCGAACATTTTGTATACTTATCGGCCGGGGTGAGGTTTAATTTTGTCGATATTGCGCGCCGCCTCAACCCCGCGATGAACACAACCGCTTCAATTCGCCAGTGATCTCGCGCATGCACCCGCCCGTGAGCAGTCGGAGCACACACTTCTTCCTCTGTTCTAAATTTGCTATTTAGATACCAAGCAAAAGCAATATGATTAAAAAATCCAAACTGACTTGTATAATTAAAATAAAGATAGTATACCCCTCAAAAAAAATGAAGAGAGTATATATATTAGCACATACAGGAAGTTTTAATTTGAACTTTCTATTCAGTTCAAGTATTATGCATCTTTTTTTTTGGAAGAGAACCCGATTTTTCTTTTGAAAGAAAACCCCACAGGTGAACTATCGGTCTATGCATTGATAGAGAGATGAAAACCACGGCAACAATACAAAAACCACCACAACAAACTTCACGGGCAACAAGGGCCACCAAACAAGCTGTAGCAACACCTAATGCGGGAAGGTGTCCAACGATGCCTAGACTTCATGGCAAACCTCCAACGAGAAAAGCAACGTAAAAGACATCGTCGTTGTCAGCTTCACCATGAAGTAGGGGCCTTAGCCTGAGCCCACCTTGCTACCCCACCACTAATAGGCCACCACAGTCACACCAAATAGGCTGCCGCTAAGTGAGACCTATCGCACCACTAATAGACCTGTCTCTAATGGTGAAATTTCCAAGTGGTATCTTCAAATGGTAATCCTATAAACCTTAGCATTACTATGTAGTGTTAATTCACCCACAATTCCAATCTAATATATGTGCAAGCTTTAAAGCAAACCTATCTACCACATATGTAGATCGAGCTAACACTACCTAGTTGGATCTTGTGAAACTTATCCAATCCTATCCATTTGGGTATTGAAAGGGATGGTTTGTCAAGTGTTATGCCATCAACAACCCAAACAATTTGGCTAGTATTACAGAAAATTATTATTAGCTGCAATTACTAGGACCCTGTTCAAAAAAAAAAAAAAAAAAAAAAAACCAGTGCTCCTTTCTTTCCACTATAGTTTTACCATTTCTAATAGAGGTCTCGTTTCTACAAAATAGGATGACATGCAAATGTTTTCCATTAGGTAACAAAGAACATAGAGAGAGAAAAGAAAGGGGTTTTATCTAAATAAAATTGCATGACACTATTTCCATATAATACTAAACTTACGTTGGCTACAAAAAATTATAAACAATGCATCGTAATTATTTTTCCAATCATCACATAAATGATCTCATGCACAGATGACACTCTTAGAAACAAGAAGCAATATAAAAAACTCCGTTAGGATTAGCCTACACCATTCCTCATGGATCACATTTTGGTATTTCTATAAATTGCTAATGGAAGGCTATGCTAGGTTTCCTATAAATGTAACCATATGATTGCAATAAATATATTACTTGTGATTGTTCTGTTTTTATGGCATGACCATCATGGCCACAATAGGTCATAATTTTGTCTTTTGGTGATTGAATAACAACATAGTAATTTAGATTAACATGGTTGATAAGTGCGCACTTAAGTAGGTCCATAAAATAAAAGGCAAGTGAATCCACAAAAACATAACAAAGTTTGGAAGAAAATTAGAAAAAACCCTGAAGAAATGCAAGAACCTATGTGTCAAACATTGCACGCGTCAAAATATTCAACAATCCATGAAGTTCTAGAGACATGAAGATTCAACATAAGCAATGATATAGCGATAGGAGACATGCACACACCGGAGTATCACACGGTACATTGCCCAGGTTGAGGGAAATGCATGCAACAAACTATGAACAATAAAGCATTGGAGTATTTTTCTAGAAGAGCGAAGAAGTAGAAGTCCTAGGGAGCTATAGCACTGGATGGTCTGGTGATGAAGTGACATGCACTTAAGTGTTCATTGTAGCATTGCATAGTGCGTATTAATGACTTAAAGATGACATGGCAAACAAGAAGTGCGCACCAGATGATCCCATGATCAGATGATCCTAGTGCATGCTTCTTCTCTACCATGTCATTGAATCATGCAATGAATTGCAACATGTTACTTCCTTGCCGATGATCAACCACACCTTTATACTTGGTGCCCTGACACCTTGGAGCCTTGAGGCCATCAATGCATGGGAAGTTTGTTGACCCACTAGCTTGTTGACCCACTACCTTGGAGCCTTGAGGCGATCAATGGGAGCCTTAAGGCATTTTTAGAGGACGGGAACCCTTGTCTATGTGGCTCAAGATTCGTAGTGGAGCTGGTGTCAAGAGATCAAGAGAGAAGGCTTTTGGTGAGGTTTTCCTGCTTGGTGTAAGTTGCACATCTAGCTTGGTGGTCTTTCGTGGCGTAGTTTAAGGCCTTGACTAAGAGAGACTTGGTGACAAAGGATGTATCACTAGTGGATCTCGAACGTGGACTATATGGGTGGAGGGTTCCCACTATTATCATTAGATAATTAATATATTCTTGCTTGAGTTTGTGACCTCTTGCACGTTCCCTTTGCTTTCCATATCTACATTTCTACGTTTCGCTCTTGTGCGACTTGTGTACCTTTACTTTTGTGGAATAACTCATATATTAGTTTGGATTATATTGGTTCTAAGTTTGCAAAACTCTTAGTGGGTTGTGGGTAAATGATTAAATAAACCTTAAGAGCAAATCTAGATAGCATGGATTATATTCATCGCTCAGCAATGCTAGTGTAACCCTAGGACAGTTCCTTAGTGACCTAGTTCACCCATCTCCCTCTTAGGTCACAACTTGGATTTTAGGCAACCTATTCCCTAGACATGGTATATCAGGAATCATCATTCTTGCAATGAAGAAGTCCATTTTAATATCCTTAGTATTCCACTTCGTTCACTTAGAACCTTGAATAAAACTTTTTATATATTCGCACCCGAGAATCATTTCAATTGACCTAATACCCCCTATCAAGGTTTATCTTACTTATTTGTACAAGTGTAACTTTAAATTAACTTTTTATGGGGTGACATAGGACACTGTATATATATCATGCATTCATGCTAAAAAATATGATAAGAATTTTTTAATTATTTTCATTCATTAGGTGCATATGGTACAAAATTGCATGAAGAGTAATAAAAAAATTCTTAAAATAGAGCTTTTCTAACATAGGATTCTACATGTGCTTTACCTCACAAAGTTGAAACTTAAACTCAACTTGTATGCATTAAAATAAGAAATACAGATCTCATTTGGGCTAGGTTAGACCAAATGAAATAGTTCAAGGGTTATAAACTAAGCCAAATTTTGTTTAGAGGCTCAATGTACAAAGTGGATTCTTTGGATTGTACACAATGGTGGGGTTTTCTTTTACCACCACCTTCTACTAAACTTAACACTAGGAGCTAGCCATGTCACCAATAAGCCTAGCCACTAATCAGTTTGGTCTACTCCCCTGCTTCTCTCTATTCCCATCATCCTAGCACCTTCCATAAAAATATTCCAATTTCTCGAGGACCATTATGGATAAAAGCCTAACCCCACGTCTATAGGCTAACACATATAAGGTGAGGACTTTCTTAATATAGAGGCCAGCATGGCAGAGATGCAAAATGGAAAGAAGACCTAAGTTTACTACTACACAAAAGAAAAATACTAGTATGTGAAATGCGCAGCTGTTACACTTTCGTGGTCTATTCAACGTTGGTACTAATCTACGCTACTTAATGCTCACATATACTAGTAAATAAATTATTAATGCCACCAGTAACTTTTGTGTCACCGTCACCGTGCCGCAAATGCAAGGTACTAGCAAAATGACATCAGGGCCGGGGTAGGTTTCCACGATCAATTCAACACAACGACGTGCACCACTCACTCCTGCTAGGTTGGATACTTTCGACCACTTGCGTGCAGAATGGCAGAAGAGTGATGGCGTTCAGCCTTCAGCGATGCTGCAGCAGGAAAAGAACGAACTGCCCTGATGTGACACTAGTAGTAGACTGCTTGCAGCTGCTGCTATTCCGCACGAGCGCTTGACCACCGCCGGTCCGCCCCCTCCGGCTGACCGCTCGGTGTTCCGGCGACCCGAACCTTTGACCAGCCTGCCAACGGCACCCCGCACGGAGCTCACCAACCGCCTCGCACTCCACCCTGTTCGTGATACTGACCGTCGGGGCCCAAGCATGCCGGGTCCCGCCAATCAGTGGAAAGTGTGCGTATATGCCTGCTTCCTCCCGGTGGCCAGCTCTGCGTCGACGGCGGCTGAACCTATAAAAGCCGAGCAGCTTCCGCAGCTAATTCAACACCACATCACAACACAAGTACACAACGCAAGAAAAACGGATCCAACCTTCGGTTTTGCACAAGTCGACGCCGCCTTGTCTCCGAGTCCAAGAGCAGTTCGAGGCGGCGGCTCTCTGGACCTCTGGTCAACATAGCTTCGCTTCGAGGTATCGTCTCAGAGCGCATGGCCGTGGAGGTTCAGGGCACCAGGCGGCCGCCGCAGGACGCCGGCGTGAAGGTCAAGTTCATCGAGACGCAGTTCATCAGCTCCGACGCCGCCAGCTTCAAGGCCGTCGTGCAGCGCCTCACCGGCAAGTCCCCCGCCGCCGCCTCGTCGCAGACGGCTCAGGCGCCGGCGGTGCCGCCGCAAAGGCCGCGCCGGTGCCGGCCGGCCTTCGTTGGCGCCGGGCAGCAGCAGCAGGCCGCCGCCGGGTGGACGATGGATCAACAGGCTACCGCCGGCTACCTGGCGATGATGCCGGCGGCGCCGAAGCAAGAGCCGCTCGCGGCGGCGCCTCGGCTGGAGGACATCAACGAGCTCTGCGACTTCGCGGACGTGTTCTACACCACCACCGCCGCGAGCGCACGGCGCGATGGCAGCGGCAGCGCCTTCCCTTACTGAAACGACGGAGTGTGGTGCTTGCGCCTTGATGTTGTTTTCAGAATGAATGAATGATGAAGCGCGGATGCTTGCAGTTTGCGATTGCCAATTTGGCAATTTGCTATGTCGCAGTCGCAGTGAGTTGGGTACATTAATGATCCACGAGCTAGGCCCTGTTCGCAGGCCCTGTTCGCTTGGGTCCGCCGTAAGGTTTGCGCTAAATGACAACGTTTTTCTCTCACAATAAATCAGCATCAACATCAGTATCATCCATTTTTTTAGCCAGCCGAACAGGGCCCAGGTGTGCAAGGAGAGAGATAAGGATTGTCTATCAACCGCTGTACTGTTAAGCTAATCTCATGCAGCTCCATATACAGTATTGTTAATTCACGAGTGCTCTCCAAGTACAGTGAAATGCTGCCGTGTCAAATTTGTAATGTGCTAAAAACAGACCATATGGTGCGATATGAATAGATTTTTTTTCATACATATCCAGAGGTTGTCAAATTTAGTGGATTTTAATTTAACAGTGGTTGTGAATGTATATATACTTACAAGGTCTTATTACCACAGGTCACAAACCAAAAACTAAAACAAACAGTCTATTATTAAATTTATTATTAAAAAATTGAAAATCTGACTTCTAAGAAATAAAATTAAAGCTGAAGAGCTCGTTGAAAAAAGCTTTTCTGACTTTTAGTGTGCTAAGAAGTTAAAAAGTCAAAACTCAATAGCCAAAATCCATAAAGCTAGATTTTCACCCAAAAGACCCAAAACTGCAGCTCAAAACAATAGACCTTCAATCCGACGGTAAAACAAACTCATCTTACCAATTAATTTCTTTAAAAGTTGAGTTCTGTTGGTTTCTACGGGTGAACTATGAATTCCTTTAAAACTCAGCTTATCTCTATACTTACGGTATTATTAATTCACGAGCGGTCTCCAAGAAGTACAGTGACATGCTACGGTGTGAAATTTGTAATGTGAGCATATGGTGCAATATACATCGATTTTTTTTCTCGTACATATCAAGAGGTTGTGAAATTTATTGAATTTTAAATTGAACTACAGTTGTGAATGTATATATACTTACAAGGTTATTATTACGGTTAGTGAAACAAACGGCTAGAAATTAAGCCGGTTTATGGGAAAATAATAAACAAAAAGCTGAGAAGATCTTTTCTAGCTTTGGTGTGCTGAGAAGCTAGTTTTTTTAGTTTCAAAAAAAAGAAGCTAGTGTTTTTTAGAAAAGTCGATAGCTAAAAGCCAACAAGCAAAAGACAAACTTCAGAATGCCAGCTTTTCAATCAAAAGGCTACTCGAAACAAACAGGCTTTCAGTCCAGCGGTGAAACTAACTCAGCTTAGCAATCAATTCCTTTAAAAATTGAGTTTAGTTGGTTTAGGGTGGATGACCTAAGAATTCCTTTAAAACTCAGCTCAGCTCTATATGTACATTATTGTTAATTCACAAGCGGTCTTTAAGTACAATAAAATACTGTGGTGTCAAATTTGTAATGTGCTAAAAATACATTATTAGGGATATATATGGACTACCTCACATATCTTCATATAGGCTTTTATTTTATGGGTTGTCGCCACATCCTATAATATGGTATAATACATAATTTTTTCTTATATTATATACATATCTAGAAGTCGTCAAAGTTCATGGATTTGTTTTTTTTATCGTAAAATAAACTCAAGCTTACTCCCTCCGTCCCAAAAAAAAGAGTCGTTATGAGAATCGTGCTGTTCAAACTTTCTCAACTTTAACTATATTTGTAAAAAATGCGTGCAACATTTATATCTCCAAATAAGTTGATTATAAAAGTATATTCAACGATCTACCTAATGATACTTACGCGCTATCGTAGCTGCCTGCTGCGTAGCTACGTTGGTGTCGCAGTGTCACTGCGGCACTGCCCACTGCCGCCAGTTAAGGAGGAGGAGGTGGAGGCTGTTGGTGGCGACTGGTGAGCAGGTGAGCGGCGCTGGTGCTGGGCGCGGGCGTGGCCATGGGCGAGAGCGAGCTTGAAGCTGAGGGAGTCGGCGTTGGCCGAGGCCGAGGCCGCGGCGCCCGAACAGCTGTTCTGCGTTGGCAAGAAAAAACCGGTAACAAGAGGTACATGTGTTCTGAAATCAGCAAGAATAAATTTAACAATTTATTAGAGATGTGAGAATTGAGATTTTGCTTGTTTTGTGTATCCATGTGTGTAGATTTGAAGTGCTTCTTTTCAAGTATGAGTGTTGGCTCGGGCTTCTCATCCCATCCAAGTACCCATGAAATTCAAATTGGTGCAGCTGTAGAATATGAAGAAATAGATGTCTAGTGGTATGTCTCATCGTAGTTGTGTTTTGCTTCTTGATGTATTATCACATATAATCATATATTATACATTAATTGATTTGTTCTTCAAATTTACAGGTTCTTTAGCTCTTGAATAGTTGCATCTTGGACTCTTGTTCAGTTGGTATATGCTGAATTAATGAATTGGATTAAGGTGCTATGGACTGCTATGCTACCTTCTAGGTACCATCTTCAATCAATCTTTAAATTTGTCATATATAAGCTATTGTTATTGCTAAGGGCGTGTTCTTTTCTCTAGTCCTAGGACTAGAGACTAAAACAGAAACTAAAATGGTGTTTGTTTCCAGAGATTAAAAGGGACTGAAGGGGAGGAGAGAGACTGCGAGGGAGGAGAGAGAGGGAGGGGTATGGGCTGTAAAGGGTCCATTAGTCCCAATTAGCAGCCCCTCAAGGGACTACTATATTTTAGTCCATAATCCCTGTTTTAGTTCCTTATGTTTGGTTCAAAGGGACTAATTGGGACTAAAATTTAGTCTTTAGTCCCTTCTCCCATGAAAAAGAACACGCCCTAAATATGCTTTGCGTATGTGATCTATCTTCTTTTACACTATTAGTTATGTGTCCGTGGTTCGCCCCACCTAAAATTCTGGTCGAGCTCCACCACTGGACATTATAGTGGGTTTCCGGCTTGCTTTGTATGGGCAATGGATTTCTGTGTGGGAAAAGTATCTAATGTTTGCCACTAAAGATTAAGGATATTCTAAAACAACATTTTTTTAATCATTAACCTTGCTAAAAGGAAAGAGAATGCATGTTTTCCCTTGTCACTCGGTGAAGTTTACTCTTACCCTCGTTCTCAACAAATGGTGTGTTTACTCTCTATTTTCAAATATAACTGCAATTGAAATGTGTGTTTTAGACTTTTGGTAATACATTGATTTTGTAATAATCGATGGTAATTATACATGAAAATACTACATTCTAACACCACTTATAAAAGGAAATGAATGAAGCACCTCCATTCTCAATAAAATCTAAGTTAAAATGTGTTTGGTAGAACCTTAAAAGCTCAGAATATCTATATATGCAAAATTTGTATGTCATAATATGAAAATGGCATGAGAGGATACTACGTAGAACACCTCATTCATGTTGGCTCCTAAACCTCATCTATGTTGGTTCTGGGATCGATCTCTGCGCTATGGAGGAGACATGGATGAGGGCCAAGCACTCGTGCTGTCGTTGAAGTTGGCACTGCTAATCTTATTACTTACGGCCATGGATAATAAAGTATGCTACCTGTGCTAATTATAGGAAAATAGGCATATGATGGATCAGCACCCTTATGCCAAAAAGGGCACAATTTGCAATAAAACTCATCTGCAGAAGTCACACTTCATACCATTTACAAAGTTCACATTTGAATTAATATGCACAGTTCAAGTACAATTTATCTACAATCAATACCCAAAATAAATTAACCTAAAATAGAGAAGTCTTTCTAATGGATCTAGGCCTCAAGCATTGGTGCAGGACTAACCATTTCCATTAGTTTGTGTATTAGGTTTAGCTCTGGCATCAAGAGAAAGTTCAGTGCATCATATGTTGAGAGGATAAACAAATTGAGATTGTGAATTGATGACAAGGAGAAATCTTGCATTGATGAACATTAGTTGAGAAGATGTGAAGAAAAATTAGCATCTTGGAGAAAAATGTTGAGAATTATGAGTTGATGATCAATAAGACGATAATGTGGATGCAAACTTTAAAAAGGTGATCAAAACAATAAAGTGAAGGCATTGAAGATGCGAGGTACAAAGCGGCTCTATATCACAAAATTGTGAGCTTTTTATATGGCAAAGTGTTGAATTGTAAGTAGTGCTCATTGGCGTTGGATCATGCAAGGGTGAAGAGCAAGCCCGCTTGGCGTCGGATGACCATTGTACGTTATTGTCTGCAGTTAGCTTCACTAGAAAGAACCATTGCAAGACTACGCTCCCGAGTAAGGTACCTAAAGGATGGTGATGCAAATACATGCTTTTTTCACAAGCAGGACTGTGTTCAGAAAAGAAGAAATTATATACCCAAAATCATGGATGGTGATCGGATGGCAACTTCTCAAGTTGATAAACACAAGATTTTGTTTGATTTTTATGAGAATCTGATAGGCACAGCCCCAAACCGATCTGCGTCCTTGGATCTAGATTTTTTCCATAGGGCCACAATGGATTTGTCAATCCTTGATAACCCAATCACGGAGGATGAAGTTTGGGAGAAAATCAGATCACTGCCGGCAGATAGAGCCCCAGGCCCAGATGGTTATACAGGCAGATTTTTCAAAGCATGTTGGCAGGTGATTAAAGCAGATTTCATGGCAGCAATCATCTCTTTACAGCAAGGAGATGCAAGGGGGTTTGGACTGCTAAATGCAGCCTATGTCACTCTGATTCCGAAGAAGGTTGACGCAATGACGGCAAAAGACTTTTGCCCCATCAGCTTAGTGCATAGTTTCACTAAACTAATAACCAAGATACTGGCAAATCGATTGGCACCCTTCTCGGACTCCTTGGTATCTACAAATCAGAGCACATTTATACGAGGAAGATGCATACATGACAATTTTATCCTAGTGCAGCAAACAGTTAAAGTGCTACATCGACAAAAGGTGCCTAGCCTCTTTCTCAAACTTGATATCTCAAAAGCGTTTGATT